GAGCGACTGCATCACGCGATGCGATCGCAGAGTCTGACCGACATCTTACACCTCATGCAATAAAGGCAAGAGCGTTTGCGCATGCAGTGGTACTCCTTTTGAAGAGTTATAAAGCAGGCATTTCGAATTTTCTCTCCTGCAGTTGTTTTCGCAATGCGATTCGCAAAACAGCTGTGTAGAAAGATCCCCGATTTCATTCATTTATACTGTAACAACGAAGCGATGTATTCTCAAAATCTTTTCTTAGGTGAAAGACAACAGCGTCATATTTGCCGATGGTATTGCTCCAGAGGCCGTATGGGGTCGTATGCTGTTTGGATTCGATTGGGCTGTATGGGTTACGATCGCCATCTCGGCGTTCGGAGGTCTCGTAGTCGCCGTTGTCATCAAATTCGCCGATAATATCTTGAAAGTATGCTCTTTTTCGATTTGAAGAGGAAGATACACCGCAATTGTAATTGAACTGGTTCTTGCTTTCACGACTGCATGATACAAATGTTGAAGAACAGTTTGAGGTTCCAAAAATTTATTTCAAAAAGCTTCAAAAGACTTAATCTCGAAAGCTTTCCAAAATGTCTTGCAATATTTCGGTGCTTAGCACCTTCGTCAGGCCTGAAATAGCACTTCTTGCTGAAGTCGGACAATATGCGGATATATTGAACTAACTCACACGCGTTTGCCTCAATAAAATTCAAGGTTACCCGACGGAAATCCATTGGTCTTATGGTTAGCTCGAGTTCGGTTTGCCTCTCACTAGGAGTCTTTCCGAACATAGAGCACTTTTTCACAACGGTTTTTTGCTTATTGTAGAGGTACGTGCGTGGAGCATAAAACTGATAATAATTTTTCTTGAGCGGTCCTGGGATTGCCTCTGCAGCATTTGCAGCGTTGGATAGTTGCACATTAGCAGTTTTTGTCCAGTGAAAGTTTAGACACGTGTGGGCGCAAGAAAGTGGAAATCGGAAGAAATGCAAAAAATCCTCTTCAGTGAGGTTCGAACACAAGTCGTTGTTTCCCAATCACTTTTGGCATTCCTAGAGCCGCGCAGAAGGAAATGATGCTCGACTGAATGCTGCACGCGCGTGCTCCCTATAATAATGCAGAAAACCATTTTGAGAAGCGAACTGTGTTTGGAATATGTTTTTGGTCACTGTGATTCCACCTCTCACTCCCTTACCCGTAAAATGTTGCGCAATCGTGGCGAAAATCTTCATCAAATCCCTTTGTTATACTTGCTGCCGCGCTATTTTTATTTCTGCTCAATTGTGGGAGATGATGCGAAATCGTAATAACTTCGTATAGCACTGAGCATCGGAGGATTGGAGCGCGTTACTTGGTCTGTGATGAGAAGTTGTATGATCAGATTCTTAATTTGAGATAGGGTATTTTTTCCAAAAAAAAGTAATCGAGGACTATGCTTACCGATATTCTGCGAATTATAAATTTATTCAAGTGAGGTCCTGACTGAGAAATTGTCAGGGATATTTCTCTTAACTGAAAATGTGAGCAATAGAGCGGGGATGTGAGCTAGAACCTCCACTCGGTGCTGTCATTACGTGACTTAGCGGTCCGTTCCGTTCTGAGATATACCAGCACTTTCTCATAAATCAGAATCAAAATAATTCGTGTGTTCTTTGGCGGGGTATCAATGTTATCCCTTAGTCAACAGCAATGACTTTATTGGGACCAGATTATCGGGGTGTGTTCTAGTTGAGTCAATATAAAATGGTAGACTACCATTGCAACGATGATTCATTCACACTCCTTAATTTCTGTCGTCCTCCTTCAGTTTACCATGGAGATGTTGTACTTCATTGTAGGGCACAAAAAGCAGCCCTATACAGTGTGTATAAGTTATTAATGGTCACTCATTTCACAGTGGGTGATTCTTATATTATGAAACGGCGCAAAAACTGAGAAATAATTATAAAAAAGTTGAAAGAAAAGCTGCTCCCGCCAAAAGTTCGCTCCTAGGGTCTTTCATAATGAGGAATAAGCTGGTAATACGAGAAAAATTGCCAGTCTGCTGCTTGTCCCGGAAAGGCAAAGTTCAAGGTTGCGATTCATTGAAAAACGCACTGTAGCGCTTCTTTTTCCCAATTTCCACTCATTATCGAGAATGATACCACGAATGTGTCCAATGCTGACCACTGCGCTAACCCACTCCCTCCTGCTCAATTACGATTTTTCGCTACTGATTCCGTGACACCAACCTGAGTACACTTCCCCAATGCTTTACGCGTCCTCCTTCCTCTCCCCTTAGCTCACCTCTAAGGTCGACAGTAGATGTTAGTCAATGGTTTGAGAGATGCAATAAGAATTTGCCAAATTTGGTTATATACTTAGGTACGTAGGTTTAACTATATAATCAAATACTGGATTGTGCATAGAAAAGCTAAATATCTGACCTCCAAACAGAAGGTACTACGTTGTGTGGAATAAAAAAATCTTCTATTCTTTTTTAAGGCTTTCGCTACCTCATTTGCAATTGTGTTGAATTGCATTCTCGCATATTTTCTCTTCAACTTCCGGCCAACGATGTTCTTCGTGGTGGGCGCGTGTTTCGTCATAGGAGCTGTATTCGTCTACAGTATCTATCCGTATCGGTAAGCTTGTTTGATTTGATGACTTTCATTGATTTATCGTTGCTCTGCGGGATCGCGGACATTGACACCGCAACCCTGGTAGCTTCAGTGTCTAAACCGTTGGCGAGTGTGGTTCAGCGGGTCTCTAGAACTGGTGTGGTCCTGCTAATCAACTATCCACGGGTCTGTGCCGTTACCCATGTGCCTCGTGGTCAGCAAAAGTTTTGGATCATTGACTTGTATTATTAGCGTTGTTCCCTTGTAATCTAACCATAAGATGGAAAGAAAGCTGTAAGCGTCATCGGCGACGTGATTTTTTGATTTTGTTTAGCGTGCATTTTAAATGGAGCCCATTGTCATGGGAGGGATTGCAATCCTCGGAGCTCTGTATTTCTGAGAAGACTAAAACCTAAGCTCGGGAAGTAGGTGTGCCTAAAGCGTGGCAGGAAGCGACCGTATCTTGTTTGCTGTTGAATCAGCATGTATGCAACTCAGTGATTACCTGCGGTTGATTCTTTCTGATCGCGCTGGCTCTACCCTGAACGCAATGCGTCAATTGTGCACATTGTGTTTGATGATGAGATACTGTAGTCCTAATCGTTGGTGGAACTTTTCCACTTTAATCTACTTCCATGCTCAATTATTCGGGTATAAGTTACATGTGGGGCGGAAGTGGTGTAGTGACAAGTGGCACGCTTACCACGCGAGCGGTCCGGGGATCAAATCCTGGGTCGTGAGTCGCCCGGGCCAACCAAGCCTTCCATCCCTCCGGGGTCGGTTAATTGGTACCAGACTTGTCTGGGATAAAAAACACTGACTTGTACATCGGCTGGCCCCCGCAAGTCATTGTATAGGCCACATCGCATTCAAACGCCACTACGAATGTACAAATGGAAGTAGAATGCGTGCCGCATCCCAAAAAGGGATTGATCAACGGCAAATGCTTTATCCTTTTTTCTTTATTACATGTAGAAAGAAAGCTTTCCAACACTTCCGAAAACAGTGAGCAATGCTCAAAATGAGACCGCGGGGGTGCGTAGGGAGGGCTAAGGTCCAAGCAGACTCACGAATCACTATGTAATGTCTTATTGAAGGAGGGGTTCACGATAAGAACGAAGGTCAAAGAAGGAGAAATTGCATAGTGGGAGACAGGCGGACCTCCTGAGGGTGCTGACTGACGCGCAATTGGCAGCGAAAGATTTGACCTCGGCGATCTAGCATGGCTCACTCTTGGCGCGGTTGGCGGGTACGCCCACCGACTATCTAATCACTCGCCGCAGGTCTATACGTGGCGAGTGATTTTATTTTATTATTTATTTGTTTAGCTATTATTGACAATTAAAGCACATGTATATGGTAATAAATCGTGCAAAAAACAATCGTAAAGGTAGGAGGTGAATAAATCAAAGGTAGGAGGTGATTAAATCATTAAATATATAGAAGACGGTATTGGTCAAATTAATGATTAGATAGCAGAGAGAGCGTAGTGTTGAAGAGGGCACAGCGATGAGTCGCATCAATGCGCAAATCAACGGGCAAGGAAGGGTCCCATTTCTCGGGTTTCGGGCCGTTTCAATGGTTTCTTCTTCATCCCTGCTCCACTGACCACCTTATTTCCAATGAGCTAACTTTTCATCGTAAATTCTGCCTTAGGAAACCATTTAGATTTACCGCAAATAATAGCGTTTAAGCCTACAGCGTAACCTCCTTTTTGAGTTGTTTTGCAGGATATTTTTACTAGTGTTTTTGTGAATTTACGGTATATCCATGAAGGACACATGGGCTTCCCAACAATGTGAAATGCTTCAGGGTTCGCAGTGAGCCTCGCCCGACTGCCGAGGAAATGACGGCATTGAAGGAAAGTAATGAGAAGGAAGCGGTCTAAAGTACATAGGCTGTTGGCAGCATAATCAATCCGCCAATTTATCTTTATTCACATTGGTTTCTGCAATATAAACTACCAGTCGAATTCACTGGTGATAGCCTTGTTTTGACAAGGCAATTTCCGAATCTGTATGCGTGTGTGAATGTTTAAGTGGTTTTTCAATTTTGATTCGTATGTTGCATGAAGTCAGGTGTCTCCGATTCATTTTCCGATAGTGATCACATCCTATGCGTCTTGTTTTGTTGCCAAAATTCTCGATTTTCACCTCAGTTTACTTGGAATTTCCCAGTGAATATTCTCTGTTTTCGTTTTCACAGTACGATGTGCCCATTGGAGATTGTTTATGCGTCAGGTTGTTTATCATTTTTTGTTCCTTTTTTCTTCTTCGATCAAATTTCAGATTCGTTGCTAGCTTGTTATTTCTGCCTTTAGCTGCACACATTCAAAAACTATTATATAAAATACAGAAATAAATTGTTCCAAGGGCACAAATGCTAACAACTCGACACATCCTAACCGTAATATATATTTACTCGCGCACCGGACATGTCATCGCTTGTTATTCCGAAGATGAGCATCGCTATGAGACAGCTAATGATCAGATTACCTATTGCGGAGCGTGTGATTCTCGTGATGCACCACGCTACCAAGCGGAACTGGTTTATACTTTTCAGATAAGACAACAAAATATTTCCACACTGGTAAGCAAAACTTAAAGAGTAGAGCCACTAATTGCATGTGTCATTTTGCCTGGAAAAAATGTAAATGAGCAACATTGGTAGGAAGAAATAGCAAGAAGCATCATAGAGAACACTAAATTTCCCTTATGAGGCCGGCTGTGGTATGACGGAGAGACGGGGCTGCAAGGAGAGAGAATGCGAGAGAGTAGGTCGCACGCGATAGATCGCAGAGACACTATGCCGGTGATTAATAACAGAGCGACACACGGGTCAAGCCACAAGGCAAAGCCCCCTAGCGTCGTTGCCTCGTACTTTTGAATCGGGGCAGTGTCGCCTCTACTGCGCTTGGGGACCCGTCTTTTTCACTCTTGGAGGGACTGGCCCTTGGGGCCTAATCATTGGTCTCTCTCGTGGCTTTGAAGAGAATTCACGATGGAAAAGCAACCGAATTAACTTAGGGATGGTGGGTTGTACACGAAAGAAGGAACAGTCATGAGAGAGGGCCCAGAACCCGAAAAATGGGACCCTTTCCTTGTCCATTGATTTACGCATTGATGCTGCTACTCATCGCTGTGCCCTCTTCAACACTACGCTCTCTGCTATGTAATCGTTCGCCGCAATATACAGGGGGGGCCAAAAAAAAAAGACATTTTGCCTATGTCGGACTTCGGCTCTTTTTTCTTCGCAGAGATTGCTGTCGTTGACGGGAGTTCCTCAGCAGAGTATTCCCTAAGTGTTCCTCTATTAGTGTACGCAGGCTCTCCTTCACTGCCCTCACCGTCTTCAGAATATGACGTCATCTGTCACCGTCGTCAGGCTCAAGGAGGTCTACCGTAAGAGCTTCAGCCTGAAGCTCTTACGCAATTTCGTGAATCGATTTAATGTTGGATAGTTTTCTAGAGGCATTAGCTACCACTGTGCAAATCCCCTCGGAACTAGCTTTCCAGTAAGGGTCGTTATGGTACACGATCCTTCGAAGACCCCATTGAGATCGACCAGTGCACCATGTTTCCAGGGCTAATTCTTCTGATGCCGTCCACGTACGTGGCCACTATGAAGATTTTCTTATAGAATGGAATGCACTCTTTAATAATAAGTTGGAACCGTTCGGTCTGAGTTGAGTAAAATGTGCTTAAATCCCTCTTCAACACTACGCTCTCTGCTATCTAATCACTCGCCACGTATAGACCTGCGGCGAGTGATTAGATAGTCGGTGGGCGTACCCCGCCAACCGCGCCAAGAGTGAGCCATGCTAGATCGCCGAGGTCAAATCTTTCGCTGCCAAGCGCGTCGGTCAGCACCTCAGGAGGTCCGCCTGTCTCCCAACTATGCAATTTTCCCCTTCTTTGACCTTCGTTCTTATCAGGAATTCCTCCTTTAAGGACTAAAGTAACTTTCGCATGATATCTCACTGCTGACCAAAGTAACCTAGCTCGATGAAATTTGGAGCATACATTAAAGGAGGATTCCACGATAAGATGAAATTTGGAGCATATATTAAATGAGGGTGCGAACAACACGCAATTCGCATCGAAGGATATGCCCCGGCGATCTAGCATGGCCTTCCCTTTGGCGCAATTGGCGGGAACGCCCACCGACTATCTAATCACTCGCCGCAGGTCTATACGTGGCGAGTGATTAGATAGCAGAGAGAGTTAGTGTTGAAGAGGATGAGAGTCGCATCAATGCGCAAATCAACGGGCAAGGAAGGGGTCCCATTTCTCGGGTTCTGGGCCGTTTCTCATGGTTTCTTCTTCATCCCTGCTCCACTGACCACCTCTACCCTTATTTCCAATGAGCTGCCTTTTCATCGTGAAATTCGCCTTTAAAGGCATTCTATGTGCTTGGGTAATACTACTACTTTTACTATTATACTCGATATCCGAGAGTTGGGGTAGGCGTGTCACCGGAAGTGACGTGCACTTGATAGAAGCTATGTGGATAAGCTGCTTCCAACATACATCGCTGGATATCAGCAAAGCATGCTGGCAACAGCTTATCCACGCAACTTCTATCAAGTGCACGTCACTTCCGGTGACACACCTACCCCAACTTTCGGATATCGACTGTACAACAGCAAAAAAAGTTACTCACGGGTAAAAACTTAGGCCTGGAAGGGTTGAGCTCAATTATCACGGAGACTACCGTCGAAGGGAATTCTGGGTAGAAAACACAAACAAGCATAAACCCTTGTGTGTGATTTTTGCACTATTAGGTTGTCCGGAAATTAATGCGGTTTCGATGTCTCATACTTTATTAGACATTTTTCCGAGAAATTTTCTCTCGATTGCTGTACTATTGCACATCGTTGGAAAGCCCATTTCATTCTCTTTCTTACACTGCTGTTGTATTTTGAAAGGACTCGGGCCTCACTTTTTTAAAGGTTTGAATCGAAGAAGTCAAAGCAGTAGTTTGAGCAGTTCACTTCTATGAGTTGAAATTTGGAGAGGGTGCTGTGCAGACAGCTCGGAATAGGATTGCTGTGTGGGGCTAGGAATGCTACAATAAATGCACACTGCACCAATGGCTCCAAAGCTTTCAATGTAGGGAACCCTAGATTCGAAGTGAGGGAGGTTACGGACGACATTCTCCTCTTGACGGCAGCCTTCTGAGGACCCAGCGGAAGAAGATTGCCGGATAAGTGTACGACGGCCAGCAGCACAACCCTAAGCAAGCGTACCGAAATTTTTGGAGCACCTAAAG